CATTAGCTTTTTCATTACAAAAAAACCCTCATTCGCTGTTGCATTGCATTGCACACAGGATCTAACGGTGGGCATTGAAGAATAACATATAAGGCTATGCGCTTGTTGCATTGGAATGCATACCAGAAATAACTCATTCCGTTGGGCATTAAAGAGGTAACATTTGTGCTGTTGCATTTGCTTTGCACACACAATCTAACGTATTCCTCTGTGCAATAAGAAACACATAAGTGCTTTTGCATTGCATTGCATGCTGCAACTAACTAATTCATTTGTGTATTGAAGTGAAATCATTGCATTCGATTTTTGCATTACGAAAAAAAACCTCATTCGCTGTTGCCATTGCATTGCACACACGATCTAGCGGTGTGCATTGAAGCATATAATATAACATATAACATAATAAGGTGTAACATGTAAGTCTATGCGCTTGTTGCAATGCATACAGTGTAATTAGCTCATTCCGTTCTGCATTGAAAAGATAACATGTGTCCTTTTGCATAAAAGATCTAACATTGTGCATTGAAGAATAACATATAATTATGCACGTTGCATTGCAATGCATACAGTAATTGCTCATTACGCTGTGCATTGAAGAGATAACATTTTTGCTTTTGCAATGCATACAATAACTAACACATTCCGATGTGCATTTTAGAGATATAATTTTTGCTGTTGAAATGCAATGCATTAAATATCTAACTCAGTGGTCTCAAACTCGTGATATTTTGTGGCCCCCTACTTGACATTAAAGTTTAATGTTAGTGCGGCCCGTCGTTGCGTGTGCCGCGTAAAAAAAAAAAAAAATTCCCTTACGGGCTACCATAGATAGTCTCGTGACAGCTTACGGTGGGTTTGTTGTCAATAGTTGTCATAGACAACCGCGAAGTACAAACATACTGCGCCTGGAAAAAATGAGCGCGTCGCTTCAATTATGAGAAGCGACAATTATGAGCCTACATTTGAAATAACGAACTTGAGCGCGCAAAATATGTGAGCGCGATATGTGAAACGGCCCCTTGTCGAGCTACCACCAATCAGGCCACGAGGAACTGGTAGCTCGCGAGCGACGTGTTGGAGAGAGACCCTGCTCTAAAACATTTTGAGCTTGTATTATGTGTCCAACAGGTTGATAAGAAGGTTTGCTTTGATTTGTGCAGTCAGTAATTAGAGACACTATACATGTGTAAAAAAGAATTCAATAAGATGGGCAGACATGACTGCAAATATTTGTATTTCAAAAGCAATAATTGTTTTTCTAAGTATAATAAAAGGAAATGTGCCTTCCAAAAAAAACATTCAATATCATTAATGTGTTGTATAAAGAAAATAAAAAGGACATAAGCAAATATAAATATCACAAATATGTGTTATAGACAAAGAAAGTTTGTAAAATGAACTTCAACTGTCAGAAGGACAGCTCATGAAGAACCAATCATGTACAGAAAGGAATGTTCAAATTCAGAGGAACAGTTCAGAAGAAAATAAATATTAATTTATTTGAAAATAATTAATAATAAATATTGAGAAGATTGGATCAGTTGTGCTCCTTTTTTGGAATACTTGAATACTATTTTTTGTGGAATACTTGATGCGGCCCAGCCTGACCCCGACTCTACCTCCAGCGGCCCCCAGTTAAGTTGAGTTTGAGATCCCTGATCTAACTTATTCCTCTATGCCATGAAAAGAAAACAAGACACATTCGCATAGCATACAATAACTAACTTATTCAATTGTGTGTTGAAGGTAAATCATTTCATTTAGCTGTTGCATTACAATGCATAGAAAAACGACCTAATTTCGTTGTGCAACGAAAAGATAACGTGAGCTGTTGCAGTGTACACACAATCTAACTTTGTGCATTTGAGAATAACATATAAGCTATGCACTTGTTGTTTTAATGCATAAGAACTAACTCATTCCGCCGTGCATTGAAGACCTATTTTGTTTTTGCTATTGCATTGCTTTGCATCTAACTTGTTCCTCGTACTTGTACTTGTGGAATGAACAAACCAATTAACATATGTTCTTTCACATTGCGTTGCATACAATAACTAACTTATTAATTTGTGTACTGACGGAAAAAACATTACAAGATGTTGCATTACAATGCATAGAAAGAACTAACTCATTCCGATGTGTAATGATGAAGCATTGCATTAGCCTGGAAAAACCCAGACAACTTCCGGCAAATTTAGATTTGCTCTGCAAGTAGTCTGGCAAAGAGCTCATTCAAGCCCATTTCTAATCCGTCGAAATCAAGGCACCAATCAGAAACGTTGGGGCGGGCTTTACACAATGACGACAGCGCAGCGACGGTGAAGCAGATTTTGTAGAATGGATGGATGGATGGATGCCGCCGTGGAACATCACTCATTCGAATCATCTATCGCGTCTGTTTTAAGCGATTTAAAATGTTCCTTTTCGTTAAAAGCCTTCATATCTAAAAAAGATGTTATCGCTGTCTTACCGACTGGATTCGGCAAAAGTCTGCATACTTCATCTCCTTCATCGCTCTGATTGGTTTTAGGTCTATCCAATTGCGCCCAGAGGCATTTGAGCGATGTCCGTTGGGGACGCCCCTTTGGAAATGATTTGTCTATGAAGCTTTGCCAGACCCTTACTCAGTTACTACTGAGAATGGTCTGGTTTTAACCAGGCTAGCATTGCATTGCACTGCACAGACGAGCTAAGGTTGTGCATTGGAGAATAACATACAAAATTACATTTCATAGAATAATTGAAATGCAAGAATTAACTCATTCCGCAGTGCACTAAAAGATAAAGCTTGTGCTTTTACATTTGATTGCATAAAAGATCTGACTTATTCCTCTGTGCAATGAAAAAATAAACCCATAACATGTGCTTTCGCATTGCATTGCATCCAACAACTAACTTATTTGTGTACTGACGATAAAACATTACATGAGCTATTGCTTTACAATGAATACAATAATTAACTTATTCCGACGGACATTGAAGAGTACGTACTGTTGCATTGCATTGCTCTAACTAATTGCTATGTGCAATGAAAAGAAAACACGTTTGTGTTTTGCATTGCATTGTTCACTACAACTAACATTAATTTCTGTACTGATTGAGAGAAATCATAGCATGAGCTGTTGCATAACAATGCATAGAACAACTGCCTTATTCCGTTGTGCACGAAGAGAACATTGCAATGTTCTGTAGGGGCGGCAGTGGCTCAGTGGTTCATGTAGATTGTCTACAAACCGGAAGGTTGGTGGTTCAATCCCCGGTTCCACCTGACCAAGTGTCGAGGTGTCCATGAGCAAGACACCTAACCCCAGCTGTGTGTGTGTGTGAGACACCTAACCCACGCTGCTCCCGACGAGCTGGATGGCGCCTTGCATGGCTGACACCGCCGTCGGTGTATGAATGGGTGAATGTGAGGCAATGTAAAGCGCTTTGGTGGCCATTGGGTCTGTAAAAGCACTATATAAATGCAGTCCATTTACCAATGTTGCTTTGCATTGCACGAACGTTGGGCATTAAAGATAAACATAAGCCTAAACAAAGAGAAAACATAAGTTTTCATAAGATAAACACAAACAAGTGAATAAGTTTGTTGTTGTATGCATTGCAATAAAGTACATACTTGCTTTATTGCAATGCATACAACAACAAACTTATTCATTTGTGTACTGACGAAAAAAGATTAATGAGCTTATTGCTTTACAATGCATAGAATAACTAACTCATTCCGTTGTGCACTAAAGACAAAACAGTTAGTGCTGTTGCAAAGCATTGCCCATCTAACGGTATGCATTGAAGAATTACATAAGATATGCACTAGTTGCATTACAATGCAAACAATAACTAACTCATTCCATTGTGTATTAAAGATATAACAGTTGTTGTTGCATTGCATTCCATACAGGATCTATTATTCTGTTTTGCATTGCCTTTTGAGGACTCTTTGCTCATATGTTCAGTTGGTCAAATATGGACTATTTATGGACATATTGACTATATGAGGTAACATTAGAAATAATCTATGAGAATATACAGTGTTACGTTTTGACCCTTTGACCAGAAATATGTTCAGTAGGACAAATATGGACTAATGTCTGGCTGATTTATCTTCAGAAGGAGTCTATGAGATTATATATTAAAACACCTGGACCCTTTGGCCAGAAATATGTTCACCTACATCAGGAGTCAATGTTTAGAAAGTAAATGTTCGATGGGCAGAAATATGTTCAGTGGATCAAATATGGACTTCTGTATGGTGATATTCACTTTACAACCTGTTTCTTTATTGACTTTTACAACTAATAGGTCTCCATCCATTTTGTCCATTCTATTGGCTCTATTCTATTTTGAAGACTTGTGCTGGCTGCACAAGTCTAATTTAAGGCTCTCACAAATAAATAGTATGGGTATATTATACATTTTCTGAGTCATCAGAGTGCCTTGAGTATTGAAGTTGTTGAGTTTTGTGTCCCTGGTGTTCTTTCATGCCACAGGAATAAAAGAAAGCATACAGTTTAGGCGGAAATTGTGAAAAAATGTGTGTTATTTCTGGTTTAAAGAAGTCATGTGACCTCTGTGTTTGTCAGACAGATTCAGTACTGGGCTTAAATGAAAGCCTAAAAGGTCCCCTTTCCAATGATACCAAGCACCATATTATAGAATATTGACAATATCCCTAGGATGAGCCTAAACCAGATATACACCAGATTTCAAAAACGGAATTTATTTTGGGGGGTTAGTAACTTCATAAGATGAAAAAAGTGATTTCGCTACCACCCCTGCACTGCTATCGTGATTTTTCTAGTACTAGGGGTGTATACCTTGTCAAAAAACAATGATAGCATTTGTCCCCCCGATGATACCGATGGACCCCCCTGGCTCATGGACTAAATGTATTTCACCCTTAATGGATCATTGCACATTATACGTTGTCCATTAATAGGTTAGAGTGATTAAGGTCATAGTGCTTTATGCTTTAATTGTTTTCTTGTGTTTTTTGTCAGATTTCAGGAGCTGGACCTGAGCACAGAGGCATTTTTCTATATGGACTCATCCAAAGAACAGTTATGGGTTGATGCAGTAGAGAGAAGCCTCCACCATAAAGCCAGATACATGCAGGTGAGTGAACGACAGCTGATTTTTGCTATTTAGCTTTTAAAATGCAAAGAACGGTCTTATCATTCCTGTGGCACCCTGAAAGTAGCATTTGGCAGTCAACTGAAGAAAGTATGTGCAACTCGCTTTCATTGTATGTGGACTTTTCATGAAGTTCTGTATGCTGTCTTCAGGTCCGTATCATTCGCCTAGTTGGAATGATGATGGTGGTGTATGTCAACAAGGTGCACAAAGATCACATTAGAGAGGTGGCTTCTGAGTCTGTGGGAACTGGCCTCATGAATAAAATGGTATGTTTGCATTTGTTAAAATAGGAAGTGGTTTTGTCAAAACTGTAAGTCATTTTAGCCTATCTTTTGGCATAGAATGCATATCTTTTGTTGTATTTGTATTAGATATGGTGTAAATCTTAGAGTGGTATTGATTACACAAATGACAGAAATGACCACAAATCGAATGATACTTTCTATCAGTAGTTCAATCACGGTGACCTGATAAGATTAACCTACTTTTATTACTCTATTACTATAGGGGAATAAAGGAGGAGTGGCTGTGCGTTTTGTGTTTCACAATACCAGCTTCTGCTTCGTGAACTCTCATTTGGCGGCTCATGTGGATGACATTGAGAGGCGGAACCAGGACTACAAAGACATCTGTGCCCGCATGAGTTTCCACCTGCTGGACTGCCCCCCTCTCAATATAGTGAAACATGAGTGAGTGTCACTGTCATCCAGTGTAGCCATTGTGAACCCATGATTAGATAACTATATTTTAAGCTAATATTGTACTTATATTTAAATGCTTCAATGCTTATGATTTCTCTTCTAAGTGTGGTGATTTGGCTTGGAGATCTTAACTACAGACTATGTTTGAATGATACCATGGAAGTAAAGAGACTTATTGCTGAGAATGAATTACGGAGGCTTCAGGAGTATGATCAGGTGAGACCTGGGGATGATGCCTCTTTATTATAATATTTTATCCTTATTTATATATATTTATACTAGGGCTGTCAGTTAAACGCGTTATTAACGGCGTTAACGCAAACCCATTTTAACGGCGTTCATTTTTTTATCGCGCGATTAAAGGTCTTTTTGGCCGAGCAAACTTTGTAGTTTTTTTCACATGCTTTTGCAACAGGACGCGGCATGCGCGGCGCTGCACTATGAAACCCATTCATTTCAATGGCTTCCGCCACGCAAGGACGTTTTGTTGCTTCGTCGACCAAAGCGCAAGCAGATCTAGCTAGACCGTAAACAAAACAACAGGCACGCCGCACACACTTGTTTAGGCTTGCGAGCCGGCCAAATAGTTGGTTAACGTTAAGTTTCGAGTGGATGACGAGCGCGAGACGCCGAAATGGATGCCAATAAGATTCTGAATTGAAAGTTTACTTTTAAAAAGTTGTCAAATGGTTCCATTGACAAGACCAAAGTGATCTGTGTGTTTTGTCGTTGTGAACTGAGCTATCATCGCAGCACGTCCAGTCTGAAATACCCCTTGATGATGGCCAAGCACACACACACAGCTGATGCGAATTCTCCGACCCCTCGTCAATATCAGGACCTTGTCAGTATTGGCTTTGACAGCACTAATATATATTTATAGTATATATAATACGGCTATACACTCACTGGCTACTTTATTAGTACACTAATTCAACTTCTTGTTAACGCAAGTATCTAATCAGCCAATAGCATAGCAGAAACTCAATGCATAGGCATGTGGAGAAGAAAAGGTTAATGCACAATCATCTCTAGGGTTTACGTAGAATGTCCCGAAAAAGAGAAAATATCCAGTGAGCGGCAGTTCTGTGGGCGAAAATGCTTTGTTGATTCCAGAGATCAGATGAGAATGGTCAGACTGGTTGGAGCTGATAGAAAGGTAACAGTAATACAAATAACCACTCGTTACAAACAAGGTTTGCAGAAGAGCATATCTGAGCACACAACACGTCGAACCATGAGGCAGATGTGCTACAGCAGCAGAAGACACACTGGGTGCCATTAAGGCTACAATTCACACAGGCTCACCAAAATTGGACAATAGAACATTAGAGAAACAGTGCCTGGTCTGATGAGTCTCGATTTCTACTACCACATTCAGATAGTAGGGTCAGAATTTGGCGTAAATAACATGAAAGCATGGATACATTCTACCTTGTATCAACAGTTCAGGCTGCTGCTGGTGGTGTAATGTGGTGTGTGGATATTTTCCTGGCACACTTTGGGCCCCTTAGTGCCAATTGAGCATCGTTTAAACGCCACAGCCTACCTGAGTATTGTTGCTGACCATGTCCATCCCTTTATGACCACAGTGTACCCATCTTCTGATGGCTACTTCCAGCAGGACAAAGCATCATGTCCCAAAGTTCAAATCATCTCAAACTGGTTTCTTGATCATGACAATGGTGATCATGACAAATTCAAATGGCCTCCACAGGCTCCGGATCTCAATCCAATAGAGCACTTTTCTGCTCAATTTGATTGTGTGGTGGAACAGGAGATTTGCATCATGGATGTGCAGCCTACAAATCTGCAGCAACTGCATGATACTATCATGGCAATGGACCAAAATCTCTGAGGAGTGTTTCCAGCACCTTGTTGAATGTATGCCACGAAGAATTAAGGCAGTTCTGAAGGCAAAATGGGGTCTAACCCGGTACTAACAAGGTGTTCCTAATAAAGTGGCCAGTTGTGATTAAATAGAATTATTAGCACAACAATTTGAGTCTAAAGTTCTGAAGAGAAAAAGCTTTTTATATATTTAAGTTATATACATATTTGAATTATAAATATGTAATGTTTATATAAATTAAAATTGTATCAAATTCTGAAATTCATGGGGTTTTTTCGATCCACAACATTTCAATCAAACTATGATGTTATTATTTTATTAACATTTTTAATGAAAAAACACAAAGGTATTTTCCAGTAGTGTTCTCTTTTACTAATGCACCCCACTGTATTTATCTGGTTTTATGTTATTCTTTGTTGCTTCCTCTTTTCTTTTTCCTGTGTGTGTATGTGGCAGTTCTGTAAGTGGTAGCCAAATATAGATTTCCATTTTTGCTCTGAAAGCACACTTAATTGCATCTTCTGTTTCACTTTGCCAGCTGAATATCCAGAGAAAGACTAAACGTGCCTTCACTGATTTCATGGAAGGGGATATTAATTTCATCCCAACTTACAAATATGATGCTAAATCCGATGGATGGGACTCAAGGTAACGTTTTTGGACATCAGGACATCTTCCTTTATACATCATTGTTTAAGGATCACTTGCTGTTAAAATGCTCTTAAAGTAAAAAAAAAAAAATTAAGTTCATAATTTGTCACGTCATAATTTGGTTTTGTCCTCTGGGGTGCGTTGACAGTGGGAAGTGTCGAGTCCCTGCCTGGTGCGACCGTATCCTCTGGAGGGGGAGCAACGTAAAGCAACTTCACTACCGCAGTCACATGGACCTAAAGACCAGTGACCACAAACCCGTCAGCTCTGTCTTTAGTGTCGGGGTGAGGTTAACTCCATTCATCATGCTCCAATAAAGGAGTTGAGACCTTCACATTGATTTTATGTGTGTGCTGCAGGTGAAAATGGTGATAGAGCAGCGCTACAAGAAGGTGTTTGAAGAGATTGTGCGGGACATGGACAGAATGGAAAATGACTTTCTGCCCTCTTTGTCCCTAACCCGACGGGAGGTGAGTAATGACGGGGAGACAGACAGGTCGGTGTATCCTCTGACAAACTCTGCATTGATCCTCTGGCCTGCCTCCATTCTCTCTGAGATCCCACCATATATCAGTGGAGGGTCGATAATGTTTGCACAATCTTAGCACTTCTCTGGACTGTGAGTGGATTATAGGCTAATCACATGTGCCATAATTGCTTTTAGACTGAATGCAATGGGGCAGTGTCTTTAAAATAGAAAAGACTAAAAATAAACTGATCAGCATCACCTGGAATCACTTCATCAGTGCATACTAAGGGTATTTTGTAATACCCATGCAAATACCAATACCATGCAAAAGTTGGGTCAGTGTGTAGATTTGTTTTTGTTTTTAAAGGATGCATTAAATTGATCAAAAGTTGCAGTTAAGACATTTATTATGTTATAAAAGATTAAAAGATTTCTATTTTAAACTGACGTCTTTCATCTTTTCTTCTGGTAGTGTATGTTTACAGCCTCATACACTACTATTCAAACACATTTTCATATTATCCCTGTTCTTTATTCCATAGTTCACCTTTGAGAATGTGAAGTTCCGTCAGCTGCAGCGTCAGAGTTTTCTCATCACTAATGATGGACAGGTTGCTTGCACCTTTGCCTTCATTCCCAAACTTAATGACTCTCAATACTGTAAGCCCTGGCTACGTGCTGAGCCCAACGAAGGGGTACTAGACCCTAGTAAGTATCTAATTTCAGTCCTGTATTTTTGTCATAAAAAAGAATGACACATTATTTTAATGTTTGATAATGTCTTCCTTTACTTCGTGATTATCAAGATACAATAATAGACACTATAGTTGGGCAGTATGTAATTTCATGACAGGTATTTTTTTTAAATAGATCCCATTTTGATAATAAATATACCTCATTTGTATCCACATTGTACATTCCCAAAGGACCACAACATTTTACTGGGAAATGTTTGGCCAAAATAGTTTTGGAGGGAAGAAATCATTGACAGAAACAGCACTTCTCCAATGTCACGCTTCGACTATGTCAGTGTCGATTTGACTTTTTCAGTGTATTTTAAAACTTTAATTTTAGTTTTGCAAAAAGAATTCCAATGTATCACACATTTAAACAATTATGGATAATTTTGCCAAATTATGAAAATATAAGAGAAGAAATAAAAGGCAATTTCTATGAAGAAATGTCATGTCAACTGCCCATATCATGTAGAGAGGACACAAATATGATGTCATCTGAACTTGTTGATTTATGATGCAGACTGCGCCCATCTTCCCGACTGTCTCAAATATTCCTGTTTTTTACATAGATGAGACAATGGAGATCTTCCTGGAGGTGTATGTTAGTAAAGATTCTGTAACACTGCTGAACTCTGGTGAGGATAAAATCGAGGACATTCTGGTGCTTCATCTGGACCGGGGAAAAGACTACTTCATCACTGTCTCTGGAAACTATCTGCCCAGCTGTTTTGGCACATCTCTGGAGACTCTGTGCCGTATGAAGAAGCCCATCCGTGAGATCCCCATCACCAAACTCATCGATCTGGTGAGGCACAGGCCACAGCTGCAGTTGGTTAGATGGATTATTATCACAGGATACATGGCTAAGTAAAGATAAGTGGCTGCCATTACAAAAACGAAAGTCTTCTCACTTTCTTGGCAGTGGAAAGTAATGACAGACAGTGGAGAGGAATTTTGTCCCCATATTTTAGATAAGGAAATACCTTCAGGTTTGACATGATTCTGACATGAGGCTACAATGAGGAAGTCATGTAAAGATAATGTTTTGATGAGATACAGCTTGTTCAGGAGCAGTTGGTCATCATGCAAGTGTTCTGTGTTGTTCATCACTGTTCCATTCTCCACGATATTCTCAAAATATAATTCGTCTTTAATTTAGAGAGTAGTCAATCATCTTTAGTCATTTTCTGTTTCAATCTCTGCTGTTCACTGATCACTGTTGGTAGCTGAAAGCTGCTTATTTGTAATTATGCAATACTGTCTCTGTCTTCTCTCTGATTACGCAATGTTTCTCTATTGTCTCATCTCTCCTCCCTCCTTTACTCCTTTCTGCTCTGACCACTCCTTTCCGACCAATCATTCTGGGTCTGCATGATTCTCAGGGAGAGGATAGCTGCATGGAGAAGGTAAAGTTCCTCTTCATGCACAGAAAAGACTCATTAGATCATGCAATAGGGCAGCTGCTATTATCAGGGCCTACATGTATGATTGAGGGTGACTGTCCTGTTTTTAATGTTTGTCCCAGTGTGACAGTCTTTAGTGCTTGCCGGTTCACACAGGTCAGCTTGCTGCAGTCACTCTGCAGGTTCAGGCTAATGAATGCCACTGAGGCTTGAATCTCACAGCTTGTATTCTGCCCCTCCTTTCGCCACCTAACTCACTGCTCACCAGCCAGCAATATTAGATAAGTAGGGAGAAGAAGCAGCTCACAGCATGGTGAAACCAGCCTCACAAATCAGTGTTTGTAATTTGGAGTCAGCTGTTCTTCAGAGTTGTTTTTGATTCTGATCTTGCTTCTGTGGCTCAGCATGAGTTGCATTCCTGCTAATTGCATGAGTCCCCTTATATTGTTTAGCTGTCTTGGGGCTGTCACTGTTCTCCACATAACACGTTTCTGTGTGTGTATGAGAGGAATGTTATTTGTGGCCCCTTTTCAAAGACAACGCGGCTGGATTTATGTCTGTTATGGTCTTTAAAGTGCCCCTATTTTAATTTTAAAGGTTCTTAATTTTGTTTTGGAGGTCTCCTACAATAGGTTTTAGGGATGCAAATTATCGAGTAATTCATTAATCGTTAGTTGATCGACCTTATCGATCGATTAACGATTAACTGATAAGCGGCTATTTTCCTGAGAATGTAAATTTCTCATGGTATCAATAGTGTCTTTAACATAAAAAGCAAAATATTGCTTATATACTGAATAAAAATGCATGTTATATTGCTCAATTGATGTTTTATCGTAACAGTTGGGATACGGTACAGATAATGGCATTTATGTAGTTTAACAAAATAAACTATGCACAGAAAATTAAAATACATAAAATATAATTGTGCACTGGCTCACCTGTTGCATGTGAAACATTAAGCAACATAAAATATACAAAAATACATTTGAAATAAAAATCTATATGGGCAGGCATAGCCTACACTATATTAAGCCTATATATAATAATCTAAACTACTTGTATGAAAAGCAGCACTTATAATCCCCCTTGGTCTGAGGAAGGTAAAAGTAAAATTACTAGACCTGGAAACTTCAAATATAGAACTGAACACAACTTAAATCATCCCTGAGGAAGGTGACGGTAAAATTAGAGGGCAGAGTTTCCCATACGTTCATTTATTTGTGGCGCGCTCTCTCTCCCTCATGGAACACCGCTGCATAAATCTGTCCAACACAGCGCTGTTAATGTTTGAGACCCAGCTTTAAAAAAAGTTATTAGCCAGCATGCAAGGAGCCTAGCTAATAAGGAGAGCTAAGTTATTGTTAGAATACAGCTATAATTTCGAGGTTAGCACACTGTATATAGCTGGTAGTCCACTCCGTTTCGACCGCCTCATGTTTGGTTTCTTTTTTGCTGCCTCAAGTTTGTGTCGGGTCTCTCGCGTGAGAATGTCGTGTCACGTTCGCAATGTTCAATTAGCCGACAATTAATTTAATTTAATCCACTAAATTCTTGTCGACAATTAACTGTTTACATCCCTAATAGGTTTACGTGCCTCCAAAGTCGAAAAACACAAATTTTCTCATAAAATACATTGCAGCATCACCTGTTTACTCTGTGTCTGAAACTGTTTAATAAAAGATTCCGTACACTGTAAAAAACAATTTGTTGAGTCAACTTAAAAAACTTTGTTACCCCGCTGCCTTAAATTTTTTTGTCAACTTGACTAGGGCTGGGCGATATATCGCACGATATTGTTATGCGCATCTCGTCAGTAAAGCCGGTTCCTTGATTAGTAGTAAATCGCCTTCACCTGCTTTCAGATGGAGCGGCATTTACTACAAAGAGCCGTAGTTAACTGACAAGCTGAGCCAAATCGCACTAATATCGCGGACGTATCGCCAGCGATATTTAATGCGATATGGCTCAGCTTGTCAGTTAACTACGGCTCTTTACACAGCAAAAACTCCAGTGTTAAATGAACACACCTGGGAGTGTATATGAGTCCACACTCAAGAGTGTTAAAGTTAATGAGATATCTAAGTGATTAATTGAGTGATGATTGAGCATTATTGAAGACACCTAAAGCAGAATCACTGAAGAAGAAAACCGGAATTTCAGGTCACCATCATGGAGATGAGTGTTTGCTTTAGTTGGGCTCTTGACCCTTATATTATTAACTTTAGTTTTTATTCAGCTGTTGTATCCGAGTCATACCTGCCAAATGAACAAAGAAAAACAATGATCTAATGGTATTGATTATATTATGACATTCATCATTTGAGCTAAGTGTTTGTGATTTATGCTGTTGGTTACAGCATAACTGAGATTCTGCATAAATATCCAGAATTTGTGATATAATATAAAGGATTTCTTAAAAGTTGTAAAAAAAAAAAAATCTTTGTTTTAGGCAGACACAGATATCAAGATTCAGTTAATGCATCTCAACAATGGTGATGAACAGAATATTCAATTAGGAAAAGTAAATTACATAGACAATTCAGATCATAATTTATTCATACCGCAATGCATGATGGGAGCCATTAATGAGTTGTGATTGGTGGCAACAAGGATTATTATTGTCACCACGGTTGAGATTCACAGGCTGATTATTGATGTCTGCGTTTCTAAATAAATGCATTTGAAAGTGATTTGATCAGAACAATTTTTATTAAATGGTTTGGATTTTAATAAACATACGATTATCATATGCTGTAGGACCACTAAACTGTTGCTATCAAATTAAACAAGATCATCTGAATGAGTTTCATTTTTCAGATCACAGCATGATTATGTCAAAACATAACCAACACTATCAGATCACACTTGTTTTTGTTCATTTGACTGTTATAAATCAATAACAGCAGACAAACAAAATTTAAACTCAAAGTATAAGGATCAAGAGCCCAACTAAAGCAAACACTGATCGCCATAACGGTGGCTTACAATTTTAGATTTTCTCCTTCAGTGATTCTGCTTGTTAACATCAGGTGTCTTCAATAATGCTCAATGATCACTAAATTAATCACTTAATTATCTCATTAACTTTAACACTCATATCTGCATCATATCTTCCATCTGAAAGCAGGTGAAGGCGATTTACTACTAATCAAAGAACCGGCTTTACTGAAGAGACGCGCATAACAATATCGTGCGATATATCGCCCAGCCCTACAATATATGGTGTATGTGCAATTGTATCAACATGCGTTTTCTAGTTGAAACAACAGTTATACTAGTTAATTCAACTTTTAGCTTAGTTGAGGACAATTAAACTTAAATGTTCTTGTTGTCTGGACAATTTCTACAAATTTAGTTGTGTCTACAAAAAAAAAAAAGTTGAAATGGCAATTATTTTTTACAGTGTACTCTGCTCTGATGGGTCAAATGGCCCAGTCTTTTGTGATTGGTCTACCGCTTACAGCGCATGTTGGAAAAGACGCACTCATTACAATATCTGAATTTCAGCTCCGGAGGCTTCCTCGGCCCAGTGATAAACAGTGATGCAAACCGTAATGATGGCATCAGTTTTAGGCTGAACAGCTGAAGAAGCTAATTAAGATCTTCAGGAACACTTGATAATTACAGATAGGTGTTTTGGTTCAGGGTTGGATCTGAACTCTGCAAGTAGGTAGATCTCCACGAACAGGATTGGCCACCCCTGCCTTAAGCCCTTGTGATCTTCCTCCGAGTCCACACGTTTAGATTGAAAAAAATGAAAAGTAGCGAAGAGCATCATCATTGCATCTCGTGCGCCATTGATAAGGTTGCCTGCCTGATGCACGCCTAACATTTTAATGTTTTTGCAGTCGAATGTGGAGTTTTTTTATTTTATTATTTTATTCGATTAATATTTGGAATTAAAATTTTAATTTAACAGGCCTAGCAGCCAATGAAGACCATAGGCTGGCATTATGCTAATATGGGATTGGCATTATGCTAAAAACAGGAATTACTGACAACTTGTTTCAGGCTGTTCAGAATCAGTTCTTTCTTTTGGGAAACAATAACCCCATTTATCATGCTTTGATCTTTGAAACTTTGCAGACCTTTTACATTCACAAGCAGCTATATTACTGACTACATGAAAGGTAATATCCGAAAAAAATTATTAGGGGGACTTTAAACAAAGTGATCATGATAATAATGTCTGATAATCTTTATATTTAAAGGCACTTTCCCCAAATAGTGTATTTCTCCCTATATATGTGTGTGTGTGTGTGTGTGTGTATATATATATATATATATATATATATATATATATATACATAAGTGACATGTTACAAAAGATTTCTATTTCAAATAAATTCTATCATCAAAAAATGGACAAAAATATTACGCATCACAACAGTTTTCAACATTTATAATAATAATACATTTCTTGAACACCAAATCAGCATATTAGAATGATTTCTGAAGGTTCATGTGACACTGAAGACTGGAGTAATGATGCTGAAAGCTTTGCCATCACAGGAATAAATTACTTTTACATTTTAAAATATATTTAATATATTTACATTAAAATAGGAAACTGTTGTTTTAAACTGTAGTAATATTTCACAATATTACTGTTTTACTGTTTTTAAATAAATGCAGTCATGGTGAGCACACAATACTTCAAAGACATGAAACTATCTTACTTTGAATTGAGTGGTAGTGCATGTATAAAGTATGTGTAAATGGAGTATAATTTTTTTGTTTTATTCCCCTCTAAGAACTGGTACAAATGATGTTGCTACTTTGCTGTGAGAATTGTAATATTTTTGTAGTAGTTCTTTTGGTGAAAAATAATAATATATCATTTAAATATGTAATTTTAACTGTTGGAAACATTGGCAGACCAAAATCATAATTTTAGGGGCATACTGACCTTTGTGTTTAAAACTGCTTTTTCTGCTTTGTTAATTGTTACATAATAGTTTATCAGAAACTATATATATATATATATATATATATATATATATATATAATAGTTTACGCCAAAAAAAAAACATTAGTGCTTTAAAAAATAATAATAATAATGAGACACCAAAGTGTACTAAATTGTGCAAAGTGCTACAAGATATTTTATGTCTCTCTTCTTAAATTTAATACAGAATTAAATATAGCTTTTAAGACAGTTCTCAATTTTCTCAGGAGAAATCCCGGATGTATTCCTTGTTTGACAATTCTGGAACAGAGGATAAACCTCTGAAGATTCCCAAAGAGGTCTGGTTGCTTGTTAATCACCTCTACACCAAGGCCTGCCAGCAGGTAAACAAAATAAAGCATGAATGCACCAATGATTAGCCATAACATCTCAAATTACTAATTAGATTATTTTCTTTCTTTATTAAAGGAGGACCTTTTTCAGACCCCTGGCCTGCAAGACGAGCTACAGAGTATTATTGACTGCTTGGACACCAGCATTCCTGAATCCATCCGTATCCTTTCCCACAAAAAAATAAATATGTTTATATATAGAAAGAGCTAGAGATTTTCCCAGCAGATTGATTACTAGTGGATAGTCTGGACAAATCTCTTTCAGGGCTCTCAGAGTTACTTAACATAGAAATGCTAATGCCTGTCACTTCACTGAATGTGACCGAGTGGCTCCCTTTAAAACTGCTCTGACTGGTTGGACTCTCCCACACAATTCTTCCCTATGCTACTGAGAGACTGAGAATGTCCCCTCTGTCCTACTGTAATGGTCCTTGAGATATCCCTAGAGACACTGTGTTCTTTCTTTCTTTTCTCTCCCTGTCTTTTCCTTTTTCTCACTCCCATGTGTTTTCTTCCTGTAGCTAAAATGTGCATTCTCACTGTTCACCGTGGTTCTCCTTGACTGCTGGTTAGCTGGCTGTAATCACTCAGTTGCTGAAGCACTATTGATCTTCTTGGAGGCTCTTCCTGAACCTGTGCTGTGTTATGAACTCTATCAGCGCTGTCTTGAATGCTCTCATGACAGCCGCCTCTGCAAACAGGTACATATTATATTTGTAGTGTCCTGACAATGTAGTTCATATGCTATTTGTGGTAGTAGGGCTTGGTATCTATATATATATATATATATATATATATATTCTTGGTTCAGTTCGTATTTACAAGCTCTCGATTTGATTCTGTGTTCAATGTGATTAGATTCCGATTCATTTGGGTATATTTCAGTTACAATGTACATTTTGCATAAATGAAATGAATTGTCTCTCAGCTATTGATGTAAATTAGATGGAACCTTCAAGATGTTGGTACATACTAAAACATTATTTTAAAAAAATAAGAACAGGATCTAAACTATGCAGTTCAATTGCTATTTATTTATAATAATCAACACAAGATGCAAAGAAACAAAAATTAAACTTTAAATTGCATTTATTATTTTTTAAAACTCTTAATATAACAAGCAAATATTATAAACATTATAAACTCATGAACACATAAATCCCCATGAAAAAACCTTGAATGGGTTGATGTACACTGCTGTTCATAAATTTGGGATCAGTATATTTTCTTTCAGCAAGGATGCATTAAATTGATACATAAAAAGTGACAGAAAGACATTTACAATGTTTCTATTTTTATTTCAAAGAAATGCTGTCATTTAACTTTCTATTGAAAACAAATTATTTTAAATTATTTAAAAAATTCAGCTTTGTCATCACAAAAAAATTACATTTTAAAATGTATATTAAAATAGACAAAAGTTATTTTAAATTGTAGTAATATTTTACAGTATTATGGTTTTTACTGTATTTTTTTTATCAAATAAATGCAGCCTTATTGAGAAACATACTTTTTTTCAAAAACATTATAAAAATCCTACTGACTCAAAACTTTTGAACAGTAGTTTATGTATAGGGCAGTGTGTGTATATATATATATACGTACAGAATTAACTATCCAACCATATTTATACATAATGCACAAGATCATTCAAATGATTATATATATATTATAACATTGATCATGGAATTATATCTAAAATGCTCTTACGACAAGAATCCAAAATACATTGGATTCCAAAAGTCTGAGACCACATTGTTTATTTCTTCGTTTAAAATACACATTTAAACAGATTTTTCAAAGTTTAAGAATTAATTGTTTGTTTTCCTCTAAACAACAGCTAATATCTCAGCTCCCACGAGCCCATCGCAATGTGTTCCGCTACCTGATGGCCTTCTTGAGAGAATTACTCAAACACTCTTTCGACAACAACCTGAACGCCAACCTCCTAGGTGAGTCTGACATAAGCCCCTTTTTCACACGGGAATGTGATGCAATGGGAGACGAGCAAAAAGTAACAAAACGCTTTCACTGGCGGTGCTCGAGCACCCAAAATCCTGCCTCTTCCACAAGCACATCTCTTTGCGTTTTATCCTTCTCGTGAGCGGCAGCGCAGTTGTATAGGCTTTAACCAATTATTGAACAGATTTTTTAACAACCAATCAATCATTGAACTTTTCACTGAGCTCATATCAGACTGTAGCCTAGAAATCTAGACACACCCTAGCAGCAGCAAATTTTATTTTTATTTGGAAAAACCAAACTCTAGTCAGGCCAATCACATCGTGTATAGAGTCGGTGGGCGGGCTTTACATAATGACGACAGAGTTGCGACGGTTCCCTGCTAGTTGACTCTGGAGGGCTTGGAGTTAAGCTTTTCTTTGAGAAAAGAACAAAGAACGGCACTTAAGTCATTCTTAAAAAAGGAAGATGTGTTCGTAGTTTTGCCGACCAGATACGGCAAAAGTTTGATCTATCAACTAGCCTCGCTGGTGGGAAAACGCTTTGGTTGGTTGTAGCGCTATCCTATTGCGTGCAGAGGGAATTCGAAAGACAACCGTTTATCCCGCACCTCGGATTGAGCTCTGCCAATGGTGAGTTCCCAGACCCAACATCTTGATGTGGTTCTGGCTTGCCAGGCTAATCAGACTGTTGAAAACATGATGGAGAAGATCGTTTTAAATGTAGTGGAATTCCCCAATAAAAAATATCATACAGCAATATAAATGTAAAAAAAAAAAGTTGTTTTGCCAGATAATTCCCATATTCCCATGAAACAAATAACACAAACACACCATTTTTGTTATGTTTAATCTATTTAGTTTTTAGTAAATACAAATGTTACCTTGTCGATTGTAAAGATGGCAACGTTCGCTTTGAGACCGCGACGCGAGGACCGCCACAACTGCACTAAGCGCTTCCACTGTGAGAGAAAGCAGCAGCCACATGGCGATTCCACCACTTGCCATGTCCCGTGTGAAACGGCCTTTATTCTATTGGCAGCAGATTACAAACATTCAGGTGCGTTACTGTTGTATTGATTTTTCTACCTCTTGTCCAGCTACTCTCTTCGCAAGCCTCCTCATTCGGCCTCCTCCCAACCTTGCTGGCAAACAGACACCACACGATCGTCAGAAAACCAATGACTTCATACTGGGGTTCCTGATGGGAGGCGATGAAGACTGAGGGAGAGGACTGCAGAATGAGGTGTTCAGGTGGTTCTGAAGCAAAAAAGACTCTTGAGGTGTGTTTGTGGCTGGTCTTCTGGGAGATATATGGGCCCCCCTGCACTAAGATGGCTAACGACCTCCGTGATGAAAGTTTGGAACTGTTGGATAGTTCTGTTTTGCACAGACATTGCCCATTGGTTCTTCGGTTCCTGCTTCAGAGGAATAGATGTCAGTTTATCTCTGCTCCCTGAATGTGTTGCTCTGGGAGTATTAATAACAAACCTCATCTTTTTGACTGTAGCATCAATAATCCTACGTGCAGCCCCAGTTTCTCTGCTTTTGACCTCTGGATCAGTGCTGTAATGCCAAATCTGATATTCCCGACCATATTTGACTGAATGTGACTCTTGGCTACTCAAAAGAAGGTCTTTGTTACACTAAAGGAAAGCCATGTATTGGAGATTGTATTGACTGCTGCTGCCAGTTTAAACACTCCCTCAGAGCACTTTTTTCCACCTGTCTCACGCTTCCTTTTCTCCTTCGAAAAATGACCTTCACAAAGAAGTGTTTCTGACAAGGTGACTTAGACAATCGACTACCTTTCAGAGTGGAGGAGAAGTCTGGACTATGATCTTTACTCACAGTTCTATCTGAATCATGATGAATCAGCCGACTTTGTCCATTGTGGTGTGCACGTTATTTATGTTTTCCAGTCTCATACATCCTTGTTGTCCTTAGCATTGGGCATTTGTATGTCCTCCACTGATGAATCTGTCATCCTTCAGAATAGACTCTTCAGTCTGTTGTGATTGCATATCCAAACCCATAATCCTCAATAATAGCAATGAGCGTCAACTTTAGATGTGGTTATCTTTATCAGATCTGGACTCTGGGGCTGATGCTTTTATTCTTTTGAGGTCTTATTCTTTTACAGATCTTCTCTGGATCCTGTTGTGCTACAGAGACGTTAACATTTTAATGTTTTGTTTTGTCTTGTTTTGTTCTGTCATGTCCTGTAATGAAGATGCAACCGTGGTCCTTCTATTTATATGTATGCTGTGTGTTATACTAACCCAGACTGGGATAATTTTGTGTATGTTTACAGTCTTTGTGTCCTTTGTTGGTGTTGTTTCATGTTACATTTACACTTTATATTTCCATGTAGTGACTTACTGGCATATGTTTCTCTCTCTTGAAAGTGCATATTGGGATTCTGTTGTTCTTATTTGTGAGTGTCGACTGAAATTCTGCTGGTTTTTACTCCTTGCGCCAGTCAGTCTGGTTTTGTTGAACAGTGTGTGAAGAGGAAGTCTCTTTCTGTTATACCAGCATTAATCATCACCCCAATGCTAAAATATTATTGTAACACAAACCACTAAAGCTGTTTCTCCACGTAATGCGTGTGACATGTTGCCCCTGTCCATTAGCAATATTTCCTCAGAATCTCACAGGAAATGTTTTGTGTGAGTCTTGCAACTTGGAAAAAGAGTTGCAATCAGTTTCCGACCAACTCTGTATCCTGCCTTCCTTTGTTTTTAGACATAAATGTGCAAAAATGGTTGCTTTAGGGGCACAACAGCTTGTCACTGGGACAGTGCTTTTAAAGGGATGACTTTGTACCTTATCTACCCCTAAATGCATATTAGTACCTTGGAGTAGTCCCACAGTACCTTAAAGATACATACTGTAGGACTACTCCAAGGTACTAATATGCATTTAGGGGCACAACAGCTTGTCACTGGGACAGTGCTTTTAAAGGGATGACTTTGTACCTTATCTACCCCTAAATGCATATTAGTACCTTGGAGTAGTCCTACAGTATGTATCTTTAAGGTACTGCTGTGAACGTTTTAGGGCTAAATAAGGTACAAAAATGTCCTTTGGGCACTGCCCTAATAACAAGCTTGTACAATTTTTTGCACTTTTCTTTTTCTGATAGTGTTGAAAACTCTAAGTAGTGATGTTCTGTGAATGATATTGTCTGTGGCTCAATGTCCTTCAATGATCCACTCTCAAATCTCAGTCTACATCACTTCACATCTGCTGCCATATTTACAAGCTTGTGTCTTTGTCTGAGCTTTCTGTTGGGTTTATGTTTTCTAATTTCTACTTTGGAAAGGCCCACCATAGAACTCGGCTGAAATCACTTTTTTTCAATGCCAATAGATGATGTTTCTGGGAGGACCTCATTGCAGATGGCCATTATACAGATTTCTGGTGTTCTGTGATCACCACCCCATCTGTTTGTTTATTTGTGTGTCCTGTCTTTCTTTCCATTCAGTTTTTGTAATGATCCTGGTACTTTGCAGCTGGGTACTTGCACATACTTTGTTTTATTTTTGGGGGGTGGGATATCTAATTTATTCAATAAAATAAAGACATTATGAACGTATTATTGTGATTTCTTGATTTAAATTTTTTTTTTAGCTAATGTCTATTACTATTGCTCAACCGTATTATTGGAGTTTGTTCAAATAATACTAAGTAATACTAGTGCAAACTCTTCAGACCTGAACGGTCACTGTCCCGTCTGCACTTGTGTAACTGCTTTCTGAAGGAGTGGCCTGCAATCATGTTGCAGTGGCTGAATTGTTTCTTTTCCATGTGAAAAGTTGATCTTCTGACACTGTTCCCCTAGTTAGTCTACTTTGTGTTCAGTGAGAGATCCCACAAGCGTGTGTGACATTCTCAGCCCTGATGTCTATATAGCCCCCAGGCTTGTGCGGTTGTCATCATCTTTTGCTTTCCTGCTGCTGTCATGGCCCTGCTGAGAGTGTCATCGTACCGTAAGCTGTTTGAGGAGGAGCAGTGGAGCCAGGCTGCAGGACGCTGTGGAGTCCAGGCCCGCTCCGCTGCCAGGTCAGTGCTTTTAGATCTGAAAGCCTTACACATATTGCTGGTACATTTTAAATGAATGTATTGTAATCAGCATAGAGTTGCTATTTTGGCATTTCAAAGCATTTTTCCATATAAAAGTTTTTTTGGCTAAACATCTACGAAATAGAGATTGTTGGTCAAGTTTAATTTTCACTTTGCTTTGTTTCTTAAATAATTAATTTATGATTCACACCTGGAGTGTTTATCAATATTATTGTATATTATGCAAAAGTTTTGGGTCAGTAAGTCTCTTATGCTCACCAATGCTGCTTTTATTTGATTACAAAAACTGTAATATTGTAAAATATTATTACAATTTAAAAGCTGGTTTCTATTTGAATATGTTTTAAAAGGTCATTTATTCCTATGATGGCAAATCATTAGTGTTACGTGATCCTTCAGAAATCATTCTAATATGCTGATTTGCTGCTCAAGATACTTTTCTTATTATCAATGTTGAAAGCAGTTGTGTTGCCTTATATTTTTGTGGAAACCATGATACAAGTTCTTCTTTCTAGGATTCTTCAAGCATTTATTTGAAATGCTTTTGACCAATTTAAGTATCAATTAAAAGCAAATAAACACTTACTGACCCCTAACATTTGAACTGTGGTGTGTATATACTGTATATTTCTTAGTTTCCTAAAATACTTGACACTGAAAAGTTTTCAAATGTTTTCTATTTACTTGTTTGGATAAAATATTTACTATTTTTAACTGTACCATGTAGTCACACTAGGAGTTCTGTGTGAATGATTTGAATCATTTAAACAATGACTTCACTGTTTATTCTTTGAATTATAAATACACTGCATAAATGTGTTATTAGTTAAGCTCTTTTGTGTACGTCCTCTTTTCCTTTAATATTGTTTGCTTAGAAAATAAACATGCCATTTCAGACATTGGAAAGCTTTCAGTCTGTTTGACAGGGGTAGAGTTTCTGAGAGGGAATGTCCCGAGCTGGATTTTGCTGCAGCTCGTGCCCTAAACAAGGAGGGTGTGGCTCGATTTGTCAGTGAGCGCTCTGTCATCGCTGCCCTCAACGATCGCCTGGCCGGCCTCATCAATGTGGTGAGACATGAAAATGTTCACACTCACACCCAAGGTTCTGCTGGGTAACAACCAGCTGTGCTCATGCTGAATCTAATGGTCTCCCTGTGTGTGGCCCAATTATCATATTTCCATGATGTTTAATGGGGTCAGTCATTTGCCTGAGGGTGTGAAGAAAATCATATTAAGGCCATGAAGATGCTGTCACGGACGGTGTCCTCTACTGCATAGTGTAATGTGATACAACATTTTGAGCATAAGCCATTACTCATATATATTGCATGTCCTCTACTCTCATACGTTACCTTATGTGTGGCTGAGGTAGGTTCGGTCTCTAGAGGAGGAGAATGAATCTCTTGAGGCTGAAATCATTGAGCTGGAAGAGAGACTAGAGTCAGAGCAGATCACCACCACCGTCAGCATCAGCAGCCCTGCCGACTACAGCCTGGAGGCTGTGATAGAGAGGATACGGAAAGAAAAGGTACCACTCAGAAACTCTGGCCTGAGTGGTGATGGATATTTATGCTATACTTGATAACATTACATTGATTTAAGCTGTGTGTGTTTTCTCCTCAAATGTCAGTTTCTTTAACACGATCTATTCTGTTGATTCTTTCATTGCTGCTTACTGGTTGTTTACCTCTTAGGAGGAGATTTTACATAACACAGAGGAGCTGAAGGGTGAGCTGTGGCGTCTGCAGATGAAATATGATCAGGTGGTTGAGCACAAGACTCTCATCCTGCAAGAGCGAGAAGATGTTTCTTTGGTAATGAAAAATGCCATGAAAACTGCAGATGTTATTTGATATGTGATACACTGAGCCACATTGAAAGATAGATATTATAGAAAAATATCAATTTTACATTAAAAAGTTTTTCAAACAGAACATATCCAATCAAGTGTTAATTTACTATTATTTATTTCCTATTATAGAATATTTATATACTTTTGTAAAATATTTTTAGCTTTCATTTTAATTTTAGTTTATTTCAATTACTAAAAACTATTTTTAAGTTTTAGTTAACTCTGATCCAATCAAAATATACAAAAGTTTGTTTTTGTCTTAAATAAGAAAAGTTTATCCTTCATTTTATGATGGGATGGATTCTCAAGTTTAAAATAAATGGCACATGCCTTGTTTGATATTTTATCTAATGTAATGAAATTCATACATTAAGTGTGGCTTAAGTGTATCCAAATACTTTTTGGATGTCACAGTGCAGTATTAAACAGTGTGTAGTCATTTAACAGATAAGCTAAACAGAAACTGAATCCCCATGCCACCTCCCCACCAATTCAAATCTCTGCATTCATACCCCAGAATATATAACTTTAGTGAAATTCTACACTTTCCCCACCACTAGATGGCAGTGTTAGCCTGTGCTGCAGATGGGGTGTTCTGACTCCAGTGGAGGTGTCTGAAAGTCCCTGGAGTGGCACAGCACAGCTGCTGCTTCCAGATCCGCTCTGGAGAGTCCTGATTACAGGCCCCGCTGACTCCCGGCCAGCGGCCACTCTGAAACCCGAGCTGCTTTCTGTAGAAACCACTCCGTCACCCCACAGATGTCAGAGCACATCTCCAGTAAAAGAGCAGATGTGGGAAAGCTTTCACCGTGCCTAATAATTCAGCCTCTCATATCTCCTAGATGCAACAGAGCAGGGCTTAGCGCTCAGGCTGGGCTGAGATGAGAATAAAACAGTAAGAGATCCAAAGAGGTAGTTGTGATGGAGCCACAAGTATAATATAGTTGCAGTTGTATAAGTGAATATACTTTAGAGACATAAGCATGACGTTCAATGTACAGTTTTGTATTTTCACTAGTTTGATTTCACTAAATTGGTTTTAACTGGCATTTTAAAGAAGCAATAGCAGTGGTTATATAAAAAAAAAACTGGCATGAGAATGTATGATTTTAAGCACCAGTGCTGCATCTGGCTGGAATGTGTCCACCATAGGGAAGTTCAGCCCTTCGGTGGTGTGGAATAGAGGAAGCAAATCGACATTGAAATGCTGTCTAGACTCTCCAGTACTGGGCTTGTGTTCACGCTGAGATAACGGGAACAACGGCCACTGTGCCAATTCTGGGCTCCGGGGAAGCTTGTGTGTGTGCTGTGTGCGTCCTCTGCCGCCCAGACCCATCCTCACACTGCAGCATTCACATGCAAATGCTTTCATTCTGAGTAATTGAATTCATTGGCACTTAATCAGGCACTTAAGATGCCCAGATGAGCCGAATAAAATGGGGGACGTTAGGCTACGTACTGTATGTGGATCTCATCTCCCCTGCATTGCAGTCTTTGCCAGGGCACAACCTGGTGGCACTGAGGATGCTCGTGATAGAAGATGTAGAGGGTAAGTGCTTTGTGTTTGTATTGACCTTTATTTCCGCTTCCCCACTCAGGAGGTGGATGCAATTACCACTGACTGCCTAGCCCTTCGAGAGCAAGTGGCCATCTATGAGGAGCAGCTGGCCGCCATGGAGAGGCAGCACCAAATGGTAAGGCCATGCAGAATGTGGCGTGAAATCTTATTTGAATCTAATTCTTATTTGAAATCGGAAAATTTTACCTTAGACCTCTGAATTTTGGCACGGACTTGTGGGGGTTTTGCTATTTAAGATGTCTCCTCTGATCATAAGGGGAACAGGGTTAGGGGATGGAGACTGACAGGAAACACGGTTCCTCAAACACAGAATGAAGGAATGAAGTACATGGGGAGTCTGCGGGTACGCAATGGCTGGAAACGGAGAAATATCTGTTGACCTCCCTCTGGGACGTGCGGTATAACTCACTCCTGGCGTATGAAATGAAAACAGAAGTTTTTCTTGTTTTATTAACTGCTATTATTATCTTGATACATCTGCCGCTCTCTCATTATTCATGTTGACGAGAACAAGCTGAGACTCAGACTCAATCTCCTTTTTATGAACACTTCATTGGGGCCAGATTAATGAACAGCTGCCCTATCTTGCACAGGCAGATATTGTTACCTGAGTAGAAACCAAAAGCCATGATATTGCGTTTGTTCACAGAGACTGGAGAAGGTGTGTGAGCCCAGGCCTCTGGATGAAGGTTTTCCTGCTGTATCCCTGCAGTTCCCAACCTTTGATATCACTCCAGCCATCATGGACATCAAGGAGTACTACAGCGAGCTGGCTGAGAGCCTCACGGTGAATTACACACCAGTATATACTCCATTGGTCTGTACAAGCTAAATTGACAGCTTTGGTGGCATTTACCCTACTGTTCAAAAATTTGGGTTCAGTAAGATTTTTTTCGGCAAAGATGCATTAAATTGATTAAAAGTGACCGTAAAGACAGTTATAATGTTACAAAAGATTCCTATTTCAAATAAATGTTGTCTTTCTATTCATCAAAGAATCCTGAAAAAAATTGTATCATGGTTTCCACAAAAATAAGCAGCACAACTGTTTTCAACATTGATAATAATCAGAAATGTTTCTTGAGCAGCAAATCATCATATTATAATGATTTCTGAAGGGATCATGTGAGATTGAAGACCGGAGTAATGATACTGAATATTTAGCTTTGCCATCACAGGAATAAATTGCAGTTCAAAATATATTAAAATAGAAAACTGTTAAATTGCAATAATATTTTACAATATTACTGTTTTACTTTATTTTTGGTGTCGTCTTTTAAAAACATGAACAATTTTTAAGACCCCAAACTTTTGAATGGTAGTTAATGTTGATTACCACAGAAAATAATTAAAAAAATAAAAGAGTAAGAGTTAGAGAAAGGCAGTTTCAATAAAAGTAAATGAAACCAACGTTTAAGATTTTAAAGGCCGGAATGTGAAATGTAATGTTAAAAAAGTCTAAATTGTAAAAAAAATTCAGTGGGACTATTATTTTATGTCAGTTATTTTATAATTATTTTCTGCTGTAATCAACATTGTGCCACATGCTGTCAATTGAGTTTGTATCAACTTGAAACATTCCTTTTGAAGGATCTGGTCCCCCACCATCCACCCACCCCACACTCCCAAAAAATGACTATTCTGTGGGACAGAAAGGAGAAATGTAGCATAATGTTAATGCTGCTCTTTTCCATATTATGAAAGTGAATGGGGATTGACACTATCCAGCACTGAGAAGGAACAAAAAAGTTCAATATTCCTTATAAATGAGGACAGAATTGTCTTTTTGGGTGAACTAACCTCTTAACACAACAGTGCTTGTTTTTTCCTTCCTCTTTCACACTTTACTTCAAGGGGCAGTTTTGTGGGACAGAGAGCTCTGTCCACATCTAGCACAGAGCACTATTGTCCCCTCTGTGTCGTTTGAGGAGTGAGGGCTCCCTAAAGGTCATCCTACAGCACCAGTGCCCTCTGACCCTGTTTGCCCCAGGAGTGGCTGCTCTTGACTGGGGTCGCAGTGGTAATCAGAGCTCTGGAGCCCTTCCCAGGCTCCTATGCAGAATGGGTCTGGAGAGGAGAAAAGAGCACTTCTACACCAGGACACTGGAGAGCCTCTACAGGCTCAACAGTCTTCTAGTGTGTGTGTTTGTGTGTGGGTCTAAGATAAGCAGGTCAAGAACAAATCCTGCTAGTGTGCTAGTAGTCGTACATACACAAAAACCAGTTCACACACAAACACATCCTTTACCACCATTCCCTGTTTTCATTTGGTCTGCTTTTCTATTCATTGCTCTCTCAGGTGGTCTCAGAACCATAAACTGGTGCTTTGTTTCATTAGCACCGCACAAGGTCCAATTGTCTCACTCACAATTGATATTGATTGGGATTTGGGGGGAACAGTAATTGGAGGCTGATTTTTGACTGGTTGCACCTGCTCACCTGATGGGCCTTCATTTGCTCTTCTTTCTTCTGGGAATAAATGCTCTCTATAGAACTCTGCTTCACGGGTGGTAACTCTTCTTTAGAGATGCAAGAAACCTGAATCTGTAAACCTTTCCTGCATTTTAGTTTGAGTCCGCTGCCGCCATTGATGCTGCAGGAAAGGGGAAGGAGGAGCAGCTGGCTAAGTTGACTGGAGGGAAAGTGAAGGACATCTCCAAAGAGACTGACGTGAATGTCCTCAAGAACTTGGTGAGTGAGTTTCCTCTCAACGACACAATTGAGCTCTGACCCATCAAAAGACACTCCAGCACTCCAGACTGCCACTAAAATGGTTGCAAATGAGGCCTAAAACAAAACTTTTTCGACAATAATTTAACATTTAGTTTACATTGATGGTTGTCTATAAAATGTATCCGGTTTAATGATATTGTCTCATTAAAGTGCACACCACTGTTTTATGTAATAACAAACACTGTATGTGTTGCAAAGAAATGATTTTTTATGAAATGTCTCGAACTCACTCTTGAGTTAGGATTTCAAATCCAACCCACTCAATGAATCGATCAGATCAGTTACTGAGTTCACAAAAGACTCCCTCACTGAACTGCTTGTCATTATTTCAGTGATTATAGATTCTAAATGAACTGGGAACAATTTAAAAACTTTCACTAAAAGTATCATTGGTGTTTCACAATGCCATGTCCTCAGTCAGATTGACAGCTGAGGAATAAAGGAAGAGAACTCCTGCTGCCCAGAGTGTTTATTCTAAGAGATTGGACCAGGAGGATGTGAGGAGTGTATAGTCTATAACAGTGTTTATCTCTCTCACTGTCTTTCCATTATGAACAATACATTTCACAGTCTGCCAACGCACTCTCTCCCCCAATCATAAACTTCATAAACTTCGCACATTCCTGCAGTGCCTCGGGAGACAGCAAATCGTACTGAGCTGTAGTAATAAAATCTCACCTGTCAGCCTCCCTCACCGGCAGGAAGAGAAACTTTAGGTTGAAAAAGAAAAGAGGCAGGGAAGGAAAAAGTGATGGATGCATTAGCGTAAAGGGAAATCATTCAGGATTTATGTTTGAAATGATTAGGAGCCGCTTGCTGACTTAGTTCACATCCTGAAGAGCAAGGAAATCATTGGTCAGCCACAACTCACACCTTTACATTTGAGAAAACAATCAGGGTGGTTAGGTTTTAATTATTATGGTTGTGGTCGTAGCCCCTCTCTTAAAATAAACCGACCGTCTCTAACCACACTGCTCACTTTCATAACACAGGATCCTGTTCGCTGATCAGTGATGGACAGTCAGCACTGCTTCATCTTGCTTCCTCCCTTCATACTACATTCTCTTTAGTTTGCTCTCCTCATTACCGCCTTACTCTTAATCGAGACCCAAAGCAGAGTAACAACCACTTTCATCAGTTGACATATCATCAGCTTGTTAATAACAGAGCTCGGAGCCTCCCAGGATCTACCTGAAAGAGAAACAGAGTGTGCAATCTCCATCCATCTCTGACAGCTGACTGTTTAACTTACCTGATTACAGTAATTACTCACAGCAGGGCAGCTCGTGCACAGAGGTGTGGCTGACAGTTCTCTGTGTTGTGTTTGTTGAAAGGTGAATATGCAAAGTGAAATGTCAACAGTTTTCAGACATGCCCGCACAATTACTAATTTAAGACCAAAATAGGCATTAATTACAAAATCATGTTTTGTTAAGCACAGCTCTTTGTTGTTATACATTGTGTATCTGCATATTCATGTTTATGCACAGTGTCTTTGGACATTCTCTTTTTTTTCCACATAGCAGTCATCAAAACTATGAAAGAAATGGAATTATTGAAATTGCATGGTGACATAAAATGGTAGACAAATCAAAACTATCCTTCAAATTGTATAAATCACAGCTCTGAACACTCACACCATCACACCAACCTCACATGATGCCATCTAAGGTGCTTTTTAAAGAGTATGGAAGGACCTCTCTCATATATGCTGGACACTTACTGGATGCTTTTCCTTATTGGTGCAAATGCATACATTAATACGTTATTTTAAGCATAAGCATTTAGATTAAAATGCAATTAAAGATCCGAAATACACATTCAGTCAGCTTTGCCCAAACGTTTGACTGGTGCTGTGTAATTGTAGATTGCAGAGCTGCAGAATGCGGTGGCAGAGCTGGAGAAGCATGAAGATGAGTTGGAGGCTGAAATAGAAGCCAAGAAAGCCAAATACCTGGAGGAGATAGAAGAGCTGAAGGTACACGCACTCGCTGTTCATATTTTTCTGCAGCAGCTCTCGGTATCTCACCACTCTGTTGTTTTTGTCCAGAATTACATTTGTCAGCTGGAGGAGGAGGAGGCTGAACTTCAGTTCCAGATAAAGGATCAAAGTGGGGACTATGAAGAACTGCTACATCAGAAGATGAATCTAGACATAGAGATTGCTGCTTACAGGTGACACATGTTATCATCATTATCATTACTGCTCATACATGATACACTACCTTTGAAAGGTTTGGGGTTGGTAATTTTTTTGTAATGTTTTTAAAAGAAGTCTCTTATGCTCATCAAGACTGCATTTATTTGATCTAAAACTATTATTACAATTTAAAATAACTGTTTTATATTGGAATTCATTTTAAAATGTAATTCATTCAGTTGATGGCAAAGCTGAATTTTCAGCATCATTACTCCAGTCTTCAGTGTCACATGATTCTTCAGAAATCATTCTAATATGCTGATTATCAAAGCTGAAAACAGTTTAATATATTTGTGAAAACCGTGATACACATTTTTTTAGGATTCTAGTCCGAAAGAACAGCATTTATTTGAAATGGAAAAATTTTGTAACATTGCAAATGCCTTTACAGTCACTTTTGAAAAATATTAATTAATAAAAAGGAAAAAAAATATATATATATCTTACTTACCCCAAACTTTGGAATGGTAGTGTAAATCCTGCAGCTTGTTGCAGAGAGGTGTGCTGTTATGTTTCTAAGTGATCAGACTTAAGATTTTACCCTGATGGTTGATAAAATGGACAAACCAGAGTATCATAGATGTTTGAGGGTGGGCTCTTTTGGACGTGAATCAGTAAACAACAACTTAAACTGTCAATCAACCCTAGCATTGTGACAGTTTTTAGTATAAAACAGTATAAAATTTTAAATATGACAATAATGGAGGTAAGACAAAAAATAAATAGAAAGAAATAAAATAAAATAAATCATAAACAATAAAATATAAAAAAATGAATAAAATAATCATTTTTACAGATAATAAAAGGATATATGTGTTGAATTATGTCATTGCACTGCAGGGTAAATGACTGTGACACAATGAACGATTCCTGAGGCCAAGATGGGTCACAGGAAGCGCATCCCCTTACAGTTGCAGAAAGCATGAAGTAATTTCCTGCTTCCCTAAATGCGTGTCTTTTCATGGCATCACCGGATTGGGAATTCTCCCAGTCTCCTCTGATGTATGTGGCATGATGACGCATGCACAACGTGACCTCAATCCCTTGAAATGCCCCTAAAATAGAGGTTCCTGGCCCTAGAGGTTCAGGAAGCGACCAACTTACAAACAAAGGCTCATTAAAATGGACAGAGGGAGCTGGTTTAGCTGTTGTCCCACCTCTGTGCCTTTTGCATATGTACATCATTTTTCTCAATAATATACTAGATTTATATTACAGCTGCTTTCTCTTCTTTGATGAATAAGAGATGAAGGCTTGGCTTGTATGTTCTTGCAGACTTTAGAGAGCTGTCTGCTCGACAAACCCCTAATGACACCATGCTGCCTCCTTCAGTGCCATTTGGCTTGGGACAAATCCCAAATGCAGATTTTGCCAGATGCCAAGAGTCTCTGATGCCACATTCGGCATCATTATCAGTTCATTATCAAAACAGTACAGACTGCACATCATTCATCCCAGCATCTGTGCCGGCCTCTGGACAGACATTTTACCATGGTATACAGTTGCTTAAGATTATTCTTTTTATTATCTATTATCCTATTACCCTGTGACATTATATGTTTCCATCCAAAGCTGCAAATTTAACTTAATTGGAATATTACATAAAACATTTGTAAATAAAGCACCTTTCCATCCCATCTGTTCAAGAGAACAAAATCGTCACTTCCTTTCCTGGCGTAAAATATCTGTAATAAAAAGGGAAGTTGCTGCAATTAGAGAAGCCCAACATTTTTTCCAACATCATAAATGACTTGCGTCTCAGAACATGCAGACAAAATGCAATAAACACTGTCATGTTACCTTGCCTTCAGGTGCCTGGTGTTTGGGAACGCAATTGTTTGAGACGCTTCCGAGAGGGAGTTAAACCAAATCATTCTGATGACAGACTTTGTTTCAGGCATTTCAGAATTCAAACCAACATTTTAGATGCTGTGCAATGCGATTGGTCCTCTGGTTAGTCCAGTTACCCAATCACATCCTCTGTTGAGGCTAAATCAAAAAGTTTTGTTTTGTTCATGTGAGGGATTTATTCGGTAAACGTGTTAAATCTATCCGCCTCAGTTGAGCGCAAAACTTTTTATATATGCATTTTTGAATTTATGTGCATCTTGGCATTTCCATCCAGCATTTTTTATGCGATATCCCAAAATGTGCATAAAATTGGTGGATAGAAACAGCTACTGAGATTCGGGTTGGTTAGCAGTGAAATAGTTACCCTAACCTTTCACTAGTGCAGATGAAAGAGGGGAAGCTCAAGCTACGGTTTGGGTCAAATAAATGCAGATTGAGTTGTTGTTGTTGTTGTTTTTTCCCTGCTCCAGGGGTTTGGTTGAAGAAGAGGTGGAGAGACTGGGCTGCTTGTAAGATGCAAGAATGGGATGCTCTTCTCTGGACTGAAGCAGACACAAAGAAACGCTAACGCTAACCACATACAGTTCAACCCTTAACAATGAGTCTCACAAATCAGGATAGTAAAGAAAACAGCTGTCAGACACACTTAACCTTCTGAGCAGATGTAAAGCTTCACTGACAGATGAACTTCAGGGAGTGTGTGCAAGCTCATTGATAACGGGTCAGTGGCAGGTAACCCGGGGTCTTCAAGAAACACTGGATCTGTGCAGCAGTGGGAGTGTTGGGGGGTTTTTCAGCACAGGAATCTTCTACTTGCAGTTTCATCACTGATCACTGAACATACATGCACTATACTGTCAAAAAGTTTGGGATAAGTAAGATTTATTTTTAAAGAAATTAAGACTTTTGTTCAGCAGGGATGCATTAAATTGAACAAAAGTGACAGTAAAAGGCATTTGTAAACTTACAAAACATTTTTATTTACAAAAATGCTGTTCTTTTGAACATTCCATTCAACATAGAATTTTGAAAGATATTATCATAGTTCCATACAAATATTAAGCAGCTTAACTTTTCAACATTGATAATAATAAAAACTGTTTCTTGATCAGCAAATTATCTTATTAAAATTATTTCTGAAGGACCGCTTGACACTGAAGACTGGATTAATGACACATCACAGGAATAAATTACATGTTAAAAAATATATTGAAACACAAAGCAGTTATTTTTAACTATAATATTTCACAATTCACTGTTTTTACTGTATTTTGATTAAATAAATGCAGCCTTGGTAAGCAGAAGAGGCTTTTTCACACAAAAAAAAGATCTTACCAACCCCAAACTTTTGAATGGTAGTATACATTCATGTTTCATTCACACATTTCAGAGTTGTATCACTCTGCACATAGAGCCTGATGACAGTCACTTTACCTTTAACCTTTCCTGTTTTGTCCAAAAGCTGCTGTGTACTTAGACAGATGAAGATTGTAGCTTGACTACACAAAAATGTTTGATTGGATAAAACATGCATATTGACAGATAAGGTAACTGAAATTTACGAATAACTCTAGTACTCACATTTTTCATTGACTTTGGACTTTTTGATCTGCAGCTAGTTTTTAATTGAACATACTGACTCTCTTCTGTGCAACAACTTACAGCGTTTAAATAAATCTTTGCCTTTAAAAAAAAATCATTCAGTCTTTTTTCTTCTGAACTCGTTGAGTACATTTCACTTTTATGGGAGTGTTTTCTGCCGACATGGACTTGAAAGAGACCGCAATCGTCCTTCTGTCAGTCAAGTGCCGTATCGTTTCACCACCTTTGAAGTCTTGGAGAGGAGCGCTGTGGAGTTTTACCCAGCAAGCCCTTCAATCTTCATACTGACCCTCACTTGTAAGCGCCCTGTGCTATTAACCCTATCAGAGGCTTGTTATCTGTGCATTTAAGATGAAAAATGCAGCTAATAATGGATTAGATAAGATTATCCAGGACCCGTGAATTCCTGTTGAATTGAAGCCCATCCGTAAGGGCTGCGGTGTGGCTGAACTGACCTGTGCAGCCAAACTGACTCCTTTAATTCTGTGGATATGAAACATGGCCAGCAGGAGAGGAAGTCACTCTGTCTTTGGGGCCCTTATTTTCACTGCTGAGGTACTTAGTCATTCTTGTTGCCCAAGGGCACCAGATCACCCTGAACCTCCCCCTCTTTAAATACTCACCCACCCCAAAGCCTTCTGGGTGCTTCTGATGAAGTATGGGACCCTGGGCCTGGTCTGCTGGCCTGTGGGGACTTTAGTTTGCTTCTGGCCTTTCCTGAGGTTTGACAATGGGAAAGGATCTGACATCAGCAGGAGGGGATCAAAAGGTCCCGCAGGGAAATCTGGCTGAGCATTTTCTTATTCGATGCACTTTGTTTTTACATCTTTTTCCAGCTTGTTTCTGTCTCTAATGTGGTGAATATTGTGTTCTCATTATTTGCTAATTTGTTTACCGCGTGCTGATGTACCTCAAATTAAATTTGATCAATGAAACATTTCTTAAACATGCAGGCAATTCCTTTTTAAATCAATTTGTACTACATTGTTAATTTCGTAGGGATGGTGGGTACGTCATTTACAATATCATAATTTCAATTTTCCCAATTTGAAAAACCACAACTTGTCCAGGCTGAAAACAAATGATTAAAACAGAAACGACTGCTCTTCAAAACATTAACAGAATTATTTTGATGCTAATGGCAGGTTTGGACATGATGTATTAGTATGGGAGTTTTTACCCCTCTCTGTGGACCCTTATGGGAGGTTTGAGGGGCTATTAACCCCTTGTAGGCCAGCAGTGATATTGAGAGGTCAGAGGCCGGTCTTCTTTTTAGCTTTCAAACCTTGACAACTTGGCAGTAGGGGTCAGTCATCAAAGCTGAGGTTTGGGTCAGCGGTCAGTGACACCCCTGGCCTTTTAATCCTGATGCCCTTGATGAGAAGTGAAAATGGAGGTAGATATCGAGGGAGAGACATCTATGAATAACAAAGATTAAAAACCAGCTCCTAATCTTCACTAATACCAATACTAATGAAGTTTACACACCTGAGTCTGGTCAGTGTTATATTGCTACCCAGAAGGCCAGCATGTGTGTAAGAATGAATACACTGGTGTAAGTAATAAGGTTTAAACTAAGAATAAGATGTTGAATAATTCATCATTAAAATTTAATAAAGAACCATTAATTTCATTGTGACATTAATAATAATTAAGCACATTCTCTCCCCAAATGTTCATTACCTTGCTTAGTGCATTCAGAGTATTATTATATATTTTTTATTTTGGTAGTTAACTTTTTTTTCTTTCTTTTTTTTGGTATAATCCAAAATATTTTCAATGGTGGTTATCATTGTTATCATTATTGTAATACACAGTCATCATGCTTTATTTAAATATAGATAAATGTAATATCATTTTAAATATATAAAAAAAACATTTGACATATTCTTTGACATAATTTTACAATTTTATTATTATTTAATACAAGAAAACAATGTCATAGTGCCAAAAAAAACTAAAATTGGGTTCATTTCTTTCTTTCGATTTTGGTGTGAAATATGACCCAGACATGTTTAAATTTTCCCAGTCATGTTTAGATTTACCCTGTTCCCCACACATTTTACAGGGGAATTTCACATGAAGAATGGCATCCAACCTTGCATAAAGTATAGTCATTGGCAATACCTTATGATATTTGAGCCAAACAGAACATGCTGTTTCAGTCATGAAAAATTGGATTAGGAATTTAAGGTAATGTTCACTACGAGAACAGCTTGTGATTCAATTCAGCGTTCACCTCTTGATAGACACACTTGGCTGTTTTATCCCAACCTGACCGACTGAACAAATAATCAAAGTCCCTTTGAAAGAGAAAACTCATTTTTAAGGTTCAAGTATGATGTGTCTGAAAACGAGACCAAGCATGTTATTACAGCAAATAAACAAAGACAGGGAGGGGGAAGAGTAAAGAAAGAAAATAACGACTGTGAAAATATACAAAAGTGAGAGTCAATTGAGAAAGTCTTTCCATAATAAGAACCGAACAAATAATAAATTACAGAGGTTGCCTTAGCTACAGGGAATCGGCAAGATGTTGCCAGCCGAAGAAAGAATGCGTCGCTCTTTCACTTTCTAACAGTGAGAACACCAAACACCATTCTAAATCATGGTTGTCTTTATTCTGATGATAATGCACAAGTGAAAAAGTCTGATTGGATTCTGATTGGCTGTCAATGTTCATCATCAGCTGAAAAACAAATCATTCTGAAAGTGATTCCACCCATATTGTTTCTCAGTGATATTATCGTTGTGGTGCTGTTGACTTCCCTATAGTTTAATCAATTTAGAACAATTATTAAAGTTCCCCCTATATGCTTTTTCAAATATTATCTTTCATGCAATGTGTAATGTAGCTATCTGTGAATGTAAACGATCTTCAAAGTTGTAAAGCCAAAAGTGCGCACTAAAAAAAGTTATTGTCTCTCAAAAGAAAGAATCGATTCGGAACCTCCTAAACGAGTCGTCAGGAATTCGAATTCAACCGCAGTATAAAATGACGATTTCTTCTCAAATCTCTCCATGAGGTCTAAATGGGATTTACTAAATGCTTTTCCATTAAAAAAATAATACAGTTCCCACTTTATTTGGACCAACTTGCTCCTCAGAATTACGACCCGTAAGTATGATTAATTATTTATGTATATATTTTCTACAGTGTGTTCAAAATACATAGTTTTGTGTTCTATATTTTGTGTCTCCAGCTAACCGGCTAACTCACGTTATTACTGTCTTACTGAACTAGTTCAGCTAATAGTGGGTCACTCACTATTACCTAAAACTGTGTATATTAATGGAGATTGTTTGTTGTTCTCACTACTTTGAGTAATGATAAAGGATTGAGCAACATTTGTTTTACAAACTTTAATGTTACATCAGTCATTCACGCTAGTGCTCGTTTAACGTATGATACAGTTAATGATGCAGTTCTCACATGTTCACCACCATAAATTAGAAATACACCGATTTGTTGATGGACATACACTTGGTAATGCTGATGGTGAGGAATTACAGTTGCAACATCTCCTGTTGAACATCGAACTGAGTAGGGTATCACAGAGAAACGTCCTGCTCAAGTCGTCTTTGCGATGGAGGTTCGGGTTGAAGAACTCTTCTAACTATTCTTCTAATGTTTCATCATCGGACTCACACTTCATATCGACGCCATCGTTACTATCTTTACAGTATAATCTCTGAGCTTCAGGAAGCCTCCGGAGCTGAAATTCAGTTGTGGTAAGGGACGTTTTGTTTCCGACATGCGCTGTACAGGGTAGACCAAAAACAACAGACTGGGCCATCTGGCCAGTCAGAGCAGAGTAGGCTCTCGGAAAGGAGGGGTTTAGAGAGACTGAATCATCAGACAAGTCGTTTGAGAATCATTGAAAAATGTAGTGATGTGCAATGTATATTATGAGAAAAGGAAAGTGTTTTTTGACCTTTCATGTAAACCTGTTGTAGGAGACCTTCAAAACAAAACTAGGAACTTTTAAAGGGTAACTAAACCCTAAAACAACTTTTAATGATCTGTAAGACTGGGGCTTTATTAATGCTGTTCATTGATTCAAGTAATTGTTTTGACATTTGGGTATAAAGTGTTTTAATTCTACAATGTATGGTGTAAAAAACGTCTGAGTGCTGCCCTCCTCAGGTTGAACAGTGGCTACTGCAGTTTAGTTTTCCAATTGGAAGTTGTGGTGCCCTGTGACATAAGAGGATACCAGCTAACCACCCCCTTGGCTACAGAGAGACGAGTCTCAGGTGTACGCCTGAGGGCACCCTCTGCTGGGCTCTGCCCACTTTTCCAGCATTTTTCAAATTCCATCAAAGTGCATCCATCCATGATAAAAGTGCTCCACACGGGTTAATAAAGGGCTTCTGAAGCGATGCGT